AAGACAGATATATGAAGAAATTAGGAAAGGAGGACATGAAGAGGGGGGAAGTCCACATAAAAAAAAATCAGCATTCCCATCTCAGCTCTGCCAGAGGGTCATCAACAAATGCAATCAATGCATCTCTGTACCGCACCCAGTCCTGAAACCCAATTGAAAAGGTTCTAAATAATTTGCTTCTTCCATGGCCCACTGAAGTTGCAACCCAAATACCTTCTCAATCTCATTCCCCAAAAAAGAAGGTTGGAGACTTGACTGGAAATTATCCCACACTACTGGGTCCAATGATGGTTTCTTGAGAAGGATTCATACTACCATTTCTTTCAAGGCCAGCATTATCACCCTCTCACTTGAGGATGAATTTATCATCACTTGGAACCAACTCCATGTTGTCTCCCAGGAGGCTTTAGTCAGCCAGGAAGGGCATCAATATAACAAACAGGTGGCTGGATTCACAGCCCTGAGAACCCTATCCATTTCCTCAAGAGTTACAGGCTCAAACTCCTCCCAGTTAACAGGGTAAGACCATGCCCAATAGAACCTGCTCAGCTGGAATCCAGTTCAGAGCAGATCTGAGTGATTTTAGCCATCAGATGCCTAGAATAATCCTTACCACAGCCCTGCAGACAATTTGTGACCCTCCTCTCCCAAGGAGAGATCAGGTCACTCTAAACAGGGCTGCTGGAAGGAATCCACAGATGCAAGAAGAACAGAAAACAGTTAGGTTCTGCTGCTCTTATGCAATGAAGTAGTCTCTAATAGGGGCTCTTAGATGTGTTTGGTTAGACTCACTTTTTATCTTCCTCCAGCAGCATTCTTTCTTCTGCTGTTTCATCTCCCAGAGCTCTTCAGTAAACTAGAGAAACCCCCCCCCCCCCAGGTTCAATGAACAGGGAGAGATCCTACAGGAGTAATCTGATCTAAGATCCTTATTGCACACATTTCAAGGCAAGACTAACATCTCAGTCAAACTGCCCATCAGATCCTCAGAAAAAAATCCAAGCTCCCTTTGGGTCCATTAGTTGCCAAGGATGGACCAAAATAATAGGTCCATACTCTTTGCATTAGGGGGTAAAAAGTTCAAGAATGATCAGAGAGTGATCATGAAAAAAGACTGATGGTAATGCCTTCTATCCTCAGATGATATTGCAATCGCTTCAAGATAAAACCGACATCTAATGTGTGAGCACCTGTCTGTGTTGGCCCTCAATGACCTGGGTCAGGTCCATGATTGCCACTTCAGAAAACTCCTGAGCTATTTAATACACCTACTATATAGGAAGGCAGGATACAGTCTCCCAACACCATAAATCTAGAAGACTCGACTGCCAATCCCACAATGGAATCAAGCAGCACAGAGAAGTCCCTGTGCAGCAGGAAGGCCAGGGCAGCAGCAGCAGCAATCCCAACTGTTGCCTAGAACCTAACTTCAACAACAGTGTCTGACATCCAATGATCTGTGGTGTAGTGCTTCTGAAAGCTGCTAGATCTTCCCATATAATAGCCCCATAATATAAAAAGGCATAATGCAACAAATGGATACCAAAAAGCCTGCAGAAATCTCTCCTTCAAGTTTTATATACTTTCTGAAACAAATATTATAAAAAGTCCACAGATGGCATAAATTCCTTAGTCAAAACTAATGAAATTGAACTTTACAATATGCTAATTAGCAGAATACATTCTGGTCTCATTTCATTTTGAGAAGTTCTGCAGTCCATGAAGTCATAATCAATTATAAAATGTGAATATAATGATAATATGCATACTATTTTTGACAAAGTCAACATATAAATGCATTGTCAGAATAAAGGTACATGTTGTTTCATGGTTAAAAACAAAATTTAAGATACTTATTACAAAACTATGGCATTAACAGAGTGTAGGTTTTAAAAAGGAACCAACAGCTTGTTAGTCAACATATTTAAAAATATTTAACAGCAAGCAGTAAAACAAATTAAAGTTGAATTAACAGTGGCATTTTGACTATTTAAAACATTCCTACACTTTGTGATTTTGTTCAACTGGAAGAACAAAAGCGGTATATTAAAAAGAATTTCAGTGATACTTTAAACATCATTTAGCACTGCTTGAATAGGAATAATTAATCTTTATTCCTTTCTTTACTTCTACAATAAAGACCTAGGGAATTATTATATAAACTTTTATTGATTTATTTCCCTACATTTACTGCCAAAGAAAGGAGA